TATACTTCAGCCTTATTATACCACCGTCCTACGTTACTACCTACTATCAAGAAATTAATTAATAACAAGGAAAAATATAAATAACTCGATGACTATTATTGGACTAAAATTAAAAACACCATCTTATTTGTGTGTTTAATTCATTCCTTTGATTTCATGATTTTTACGGTTTTGGTTTGCTATAAAAGTGTAAGGTAATTGTATATACTTCCAGCTTATATTCTCGACAAATTAAGTTTAACATTCAACAAATTAAAATAAATATTTAATAAATATTTTTGTATTTAATTGTATCTAATGATGACCTGTAAGGCTGTAACTAAAAAGTTTGTATATAATATAGCTAGCACAAGTTTGAATAGTATTCGTTCCTCCTCGATGTTATGAGTATAAAGTAAGTTTTATTATTAAATTCTATTTTCTCTTAATAGTTTTAATTCTTCCCATACTTGAACTTATATTATAAGTGCTAATTTTTATTTACCAGCATAATATGTTTAGGTCCATACATACATCTTAAAAACGGTTTAAAAGTGTTTTCAATCCACGTACGATTGATTTAGTATAAAAATAATGATACTCTAATTTTGAAAACTGATTTTAGGACGGAAAGTCGATATTATCAAGTACACTTGACGACAAATTGCATTTGTTTGTTTCAACAATTTAATTTTCAGGATTATTATCGCTTCACTTGATCCATTGGTACCGATCGAAATGAAAACAAATCTAAATTCTTATTTTGCGAGTGTGATAGTCAAATCTAGATATAAGTGACCACTTCCAAACACCTTAACAATCAATATATATTTTTTTATGACTAGGACAATCGGTTTTTAAAACAAAATATTGTATTATACGACGTAGTTATGGCACCTAATATATTAAAACTATCAAGTCTACTACTAAAAATTATTTTACTGCACACGTTTTAATTATTCGACCGTGTCAAGTACTCAAGTCATATTACATTTTGGAGTCATTATTTCTCAACTCATTAAACTCTCACAGCACATTTTTGACAAGAAACACGTCACATAGTTCCATGACTAGACAGCTAGACGTGGCAGACATACAAAAAACACTAAATGTATTATGACCAAATTACGGTGGGTCTGTGCTTTTCGCGCGATAACAATGAAACCGTCATAAAGTTTATAATGACTTTTCAGCAATCTCTTAAGTGGGTAAGCGTTTTGGTGGTTTAAATTTAAAGAAAAAAGAAAAAACAAGAAGTGACCTTCTCTGAAAAAACAACTTTGGGTGCAAAAAGTTTCAGAAGTTACACGGCTATGGTTATTAAACGTTTTTTGGTCAACCATTTGCCTCTCGACTTCCCGACAATTCTGTCTACGGTACCATAAATGGATTATTCTCTCGCAAATATCGCGTACAGGAGCGATATATCACTCGAAACTTGGGCGCAAAGACGTTCATAGTAAATTATAACTGAGTACTGAGGGACTTGTGGGATTTAGGCGATAAATTATTTTGAAAATCCCAACTTTTAAGTTTACTTTATAAGTCATGTAGTATTATAGTACGTGCAAACTCCTTAAAAAAAAAAATTAAAAATACAACTATGGATGTAGTTTATGTACCTATATACCTCGTAGACAGTTAGTAAATTAACAAAAATATTATAAATTAATCTATATAGTAATTAAAACGTTATGTTTGTTACAGCTCACCCATTACAATAATATCGTATACATAATAATATAAACTCTAAGGTATAACTCATATTTATAAATTAATTTTCTACACAATATATACATTCCATACATTTTCGATATATATAATTAGAGTTTGTGAAAATTAACTTTAAATTTAAATATGGTTTGGAAGACCGCAGACCAGTAATAATATGCGTTAGTCGATAGTAAATTATAATACCTTAAAAAGAATGCATTACGCAGTAGCTAATATTAAGAATATTAATAATAAGAGAAGGTAATTTATTCCGACAAAGATTGAAGCGGCATGAATGGATTTTAATTAGTTTATTTTTACACACCTTCCTAATATAATTTTTCAAGGATTATGAGTTGTTTTTGGTTTGAGGAGTATGAATGGTGTAATCCTTAGTTGTAACTATTATGTGCGTTGGACAGATATGAAGATATGAAACAAAAAAAGAGGAAACAACTTATTGGTAAACCATGGCTACAATAATTGAAGGTAAGTCCAAATATTTATGGGATAACGTATTTTCAAATGTTTTATCTGAACAATCCTGTAAAGTGGACTTATCTAGTTGTTGCACTTTACTTTTCAATTAGTTTTGGTGGAAAAGTCGTTGAATCGTAACGTGCCTAAAACAACGATCTTCCATGAAGGATTTAAAAATAAGCGATAGAAACTAGGTGATAGGATAAGTTCTAGTTCAAGCAAATGCATGAGTGTACAGTAAAATGTTTGGGTAACGTCTAAGAAGTCGCTAGTGTAATATTATTTTTTTCTTGTAAAGAGAAATGTATTTTGTGGATTGTAAAAATAAATGTTTAATATAAACACCAAATTGCGAATTGGGTAAAATATTTATTCTTCCGACTATAATATAGTAGTACCTATAGAATTTATATTTAAAGAGTTTTTAACATGAGATTTTTCAAATATTTATATATTCGACAAGATTAGAAGTAAACTAATAGGTCTATACAATGATGGACAGTCAGGTGGATTTTTATTTTTTTTTAAATTATGAGTGCTACATTAGGGTAGTTTTATAATATAAAAAAAGTAAGATTGCCTTCAGAGTATTAAGTTAAATATGTATGTAAGAATTATGATTACTTTTCTGGCGAAAATGTCTGCAGTTTTTAAGTCGTAAGTTCGTAACTTGGTAATTTCTTTCTGAGGGAATTTAGATATTGCGTATTGCACTTCAGCTGAGTAGAAATATTTTTAAGACGTGATATTTGTAACGGTGAATCGAAATAAGTTATTTCTTTTCTGAAAGTATAATTTTATTGCGTGGTTGAAAAGTATCAGCAAAACGATTAGCAAAAATGTTAGCTTTGTCTCATCTGAGTGCACTCAATTAGTAATTACTATTGACGTTGAACAAAGTAGCGAGGGTGATATAAGATTTAGTAATGTTCTTTCAACTTGATAATACGTAATTTTGCCCGAGTATCGGCCTTAACACCCTTTGTGACTGAGGAGAGATGGGGTTTGTTACGATTCCTGATAGATACGGAGACCCTAAATGTTCAGTCTCCCATCTTCGTAAAGCAATTCTGTACAATAAATTAACCTATGTAACTAAAATGTATTCACAAATTAAACTGTTATTTAAACAATAAAATATGTATCCCAGTTAAACATGCAAATTTATGTAATAATGTTATTTATCAGATTCAGTATTGTATCATTTGAAATGATTTTTTGTGTTCCTATGATTAAAGTACCTATAGAATATTATACAGTATTAAAATATAATATTGTAACCATATATTATATCTACAGCATAATATAATTTTAATTGGGTTGCACTGTGTAAATTATCTAGATGTACCTCGTAAATAATAATTATTCAAGTTATCGTATGATAAATTAATATATATTCACAATAAATATAGTCTAAAATGACGTCAATACCACAGTCAATTAATTTGCAACGCAATGACATAAATAAGCAATTTCTATAAACATTTTAAGTCTTAAATAAAATATACGTTTTCGGAACTTCGTTTACGGAAAAAATATAATAACAGCCACATTTATAACACATACATATACTAGAATTTCATCTTGCTATAAAATTGAATATAATATTATTATGATTACGTAGGTGCATTTTTAGTGAGAAGGAATTTCGTAGTTAAGTATAGGAAATATTAAAATAAACACATTAATTTTGAATAATGTATTGTTAGACAGATAAGATAGATTTATGATTGTATAAAACAACAATTATAATACCATAACATTATACAATATTGTCTAAAACTTAAACTCTACGTTTGATTTTTGGGATAAAGTATTATTTATATCATATTAGATCATGTGCTTTGATATGAAATGTGATTAGTGAACCACACGTCGTTTAAGTTGTTGCCAAACGATACAATACTTTTAACACAATGCAATTTAAAAATATAATAGCAGAAATAAAATTAAATCTTATCTAAAACGAATCAAATGAGTCAAACATAGTTAACTTTAGAATAAACATTTTTACAACGATCAATCCATAACTGAGAAATTACTGAGAAATACTTCGATAGATTATCAAGTTAGGGTTAATGTTATTATTACAAAGTTACAACATTTCACGTAGTTTATCCGATCCGCATCAATTTAATCTATTCGCTGGATAAGTGAATTTACTTTTATGTATATTAATTGAGTAAAACCTCATTGGGAATAATTAATTAGATACCGAAAAATAACTTTTAAACTGACATATTATTTTAAGAATAATAACTGTTGTCAACTTTTAATAAATAGACGGATTTTTACGTACTTACTTTACAAACTATTATGTGTTATAAATATGAAATTATTATTGTTATTATAGACTAATGATCTTATATTATTTTTTATAACAGTGCATAATTTAATACAGTAAGTACATAACGATATTTCATATATCATTATAATATCAAAGGATAACATGTACATAACATTAAATCATATTATTTCTCAGGAAAACAAGACATGGAAACTCTAAACTTCAAAAAATCTTTGTAATGAAAATTGAACGACAAATAATCCGAGGCTAGCATTCTTTGTAATAATACAATAGGAAATTAATTAAATCAATATAAAGTATAAAGTATAAATTGGTGCAAATAATATTGATTTTGCTTTATGTTGAACGATATATTATTATTGTTGTATTTAACTCATACTTTTCGAGAGAAAACTCTGCGTACTCTATTCAGAATACGATTTTCCACTTTAGAGCTTGAATACTGCACCGCCGGAACAGTTGAACCCCTAGAGTGGTGCCAGGTACCAGGTAATTGGTCGTTCATAGTTGTCAACCGACGTTACTCCTCGTTTTCAACGTCCGCCGCCGTGTAAATGGAAGTGGTTGCGTAGCTCCAACCAGTTTTAGCTGGGCGAGTTGGCAATCTTATCCTGAATAGCGAGTATAACTGTACAAATAAATACGATCCGGTGATCGCGTGTGGCGTATTTAATGTCAAGTACAGCGAATGGAACAGCCCAGTGGTCGAAAACAGTGGTAGATTACTCGCGGATCTCGCATAATCTTTGGACATATTGGTCTGCAACTAGAGACACTCCTTCCTATGGGCTCCATCGGATTCGATCATCGAAGTTTACTTCACGAAATTTCGTTTACGTTTCAAAGTGAGTAGATGGAGGGTACTTGAAAAGAAGTCACTTGGCCTGCACGGGTATATTATATTTAGATTTGTGAGAGCGCCAGAGCGGAAACTACTTGCCTATTGAACCAGTCCCGTAGGTGGGCCATCAGGAGAATTGAAAAAGGAATTGACAACAAAGGGAGAAGAAATACCTATTTATGCAACATTACACGAACCACTGTGGACGAAATACTAGATACAGACGATACAGTCAGAGTACTATACTAGAGGAGAATGGTCAGACACAACTTGGTTGACGAAGTCAAGAATTCCTAGCAGTGATCAGAAGACGGCAACTATAGTGCAGTCTAAGTTCTAGGAAACGATGGAATGAGTCATGACAGCGGCCAGAGTGCGAAGTCGGACCACAATGATGGAGTTCTTTAAAATCGTGGGCTCAAGCCTACCCACAAAATTGGCTCACCATTAATTAAAACACATTCACTCAATTTCGCATCACATTTTTAGTAGGTATTCGTTAACATAAATTATTATAATTCTTGTTTATTCCAAAGAATTATAATGGAAGTATACATCCTACACCTGAAATAATTCTAGAAAGAAGGGCCAAGGGTAGTTAGTTCACGAGTATTATTGATATCACTCACACATACACACAACAACAATTTTAATACAGAACCATAATTAATAACTATAATAGGTACATTCCGCCATCTTGTGTGCTATTATAGAAAGGAAAAAATACACATTTCATGTAACTTTACTGGGGCATAAAGAAATTACCAAATTGAAGCATACAATGGAATTATTTAATTGGTTTTTATTTAATTGTCTTAGTATTCAATTTAAGAAACCATTAGTGATTCTCTACAGTGACATGATATATTCAATTATAGTAATCATTATTTCTTGCTTTCGCCAATTTGAATACAGCATGGCTAACAGATGTTTCTTATGAATTTATATTGCTAAATTACTGGAATATTCTCAGAAAAATGAAATATGTTATAATGTTCTATTGAAATTGTTTACATTCTGTTACTCTAAGAAAAAAGTCTTAAACGTTAGATAAGACAAGAGACTTACAGAATAAAACAAAATTAATGAATGTATATTATAATAGGGCTTATATAAATTCATATGTCCCTTGTGTTTTTAGATGTTCGTATTTATGAATAAAAATTAATTTTAACTAAATTTTACCATACAACATTATTGAACGTTTTAAAATGTTTTTTAATAATTACAATTAATTTATTGAAATATCAATGAGAAGGACTAATTCCTAAAACAAAAATATGTGTCCTTGTACATATTACTAAACATACCTATTTATTTTTTTAGATTATTAAAATAATAAAAACGAATTAATTAAAATTATTAAATATTATATAAGTAAAATATTATGATCGTCCATAATTTATTTATTGTGTAAATAATTTAATTCAAAATTATAAAATTTCTCATAACAAGGAAACTATTCTGTGAGGGTTTCTCAACATATAATTCATTTCCTCTAACATCGGCCGACGGTATTAATGAAATTCATTTCTCAACTTATAACCATTGAATAAATATCTGCATGGTAATGTATATTATACAGAGTGCTCAAGGAGATTTACGAGTTTCAAACGGAGTGCGATTCAAATTCTTCAGTACCAGAATCTCAAATTAGTATTTCTTAGTACAACACTCTGTATACCTAAGTATAATGGTACGTATAAATAATTTATAAATGATATATGTATTATTTAATTATCTTAATGTTCAAGATTTAATAGAAAATGAACTATACAAGTTTTATTTATTCAACAGAGTATTAGAAGCAGGAAAAGATGAGTCTAGGATTACATTACACCATTGCACCTTTACATTAGGGCTCTCGGGCAAATGATAAAATGACGTACGTATACAACTTAACAAGTTCATAATACATACTATTACTATATTATTATTAAGTCTAAAATTAATTATTAATATTATATTAGTAGCTTAAAGAAACAAATAATAATAAAAAAAATAATACCGTGTTTTAAAAATGTCAATAGTTTTGGAAATGATTGTTTGAGTTTCATAATTGTGTTAAGAAGTGTACAAACTAATTAATAACAATAATACAGATATCAGAATATAATATCTTTAATAATTTAACTTGTATACAGTTAAAGTAAAATCATATAACAGTAAGAACGCCTACTATACTTTTTATATAAAACGAAAATAGTAGAAATATTATTTATTAAAATCATTTCATGATTTACCAGTGTTTAAACAAATGTATTAGATATTTAAATAGCATAGGTATATTTTAATAACCATAATAACAGTAACACGTTATACCTATCATCTTATAGATATAATAATTATTATTTGAAGTACGTGGAAACATTCAACGCGATGTATTAAAATTGCATATACAAAGCGCCGTGTTATAAAAATATAATAATATATTGAAACAATTTATTATAATATTATAATGTCGTACTTCAACTGGCTGATTATTCATTTGAGTTTTTAATGAAACTGCCCTGCCCTTAATTTATAAATTTGACTAAAAATATATTACAACGTTCAGTGGCCTATTTTAGCTTTTATCTGAAATTTAGCATCGTATATTATAATAAGTGTGTTCAGCAGCTTTACGTGTACATTAGTCTTGATGGTCCTTAGTGAACTGAACAAACAAGGTAAGGTCAATAAACAATTTTAATACCATCTTATGGTGTATGGTCTTGGTCTTCCATCCAAACACCGAGTTAGTTTTGAAGATCGCGATTTACCATCTCAATACAACCAAGTGTTTGGTGAGAGTTTCCGGGCGCAATAACATTTTCACTAAACAAAGTTTTTTTTGAACGAAGATAATCACCACAGTGCATAACTTTTACAGAGGTTCATATAATGATGGTATATACAACCAGTCTGAACTCTGAGTATACTTAACCAACGTTTTTGGGTAATAAGATACGATACGATTCGAAGCGTTGTTGATGTGCGAAAGTTTAACATACAATAATATAATATAAAATTTAAACTTCGAGGTAAATGATACAAAAAAATGTATATATATATATCACTGAATGATAAAAGCTCTGCAGATTCTGCAAGGTTTTATTAGATCATATTTTTACAAATTCAATTCCATGTGGAATTATTGCGTATAACCTGATCGGTTGTATTTTCAGGTTTTCCGACAAAAACTGAGAAAATTTCCACGTTTCATACTCTTATATGATACTATTTTATAAATTATTGCAAAATACAATAACTTATCATGATTACAAACACTGTCGTCAAAATAATATTTTGATACACAACATCCATTAATTTTTATAACATATATTCCAGAGGAACGACGATAGAGTATTGTATTTGATTATGGTTCAATTCGAATACCTATACCGGGCAATTTAAAAACGAGTCATTGACTAGTGGATTGAAATCCCATTAACTAATGTATTTTCAATTGGAGTTTAAGCGGACGACGCTGTACTAAGTTGTGTTATTATTATTCGTCTCACACTGGCTGTATAGCATCGAAAAACAATTCGTTCACACTAATCATTCATAATGTATTATATATACATACTATTAATTATGTTATATGTATATAATATGATTAGAAATTATCTATTCAAAATACAATACCTTTAATTAAAATTAATTACCTAATTAACAAAACAATGCTACTAACAGGCCAACTTCTACCATTTTTCCACCTCGAGATACAATCTAAAATTGCATTTTTTTTTTTATTAATAATCATATATTTTATTACGACAAATAATTTAAAGATCTAACGATGATGTCTTTTCCTGTAACTCATTATGTGTGGTCTGTGTAAAATTTAAACTTGTGCCATAATCATAATATATTATGTTATAATTTTCAATGACATTGGAATATATAAGATGTGGGATGACGACTTACGTAAATAGTAGTAGTAAATCATTAAACATGAAATGGTATTTTCCAAGAAAAATAACTCATTTGAAACAATAATATATAATATTATTTAATAACTGTTAGACTTCACGTTATTATAATATTATACTGTACCCTGTAATAAGTGACCTCTAACCAGGTATAGTTATTGTCCCTCAGGAATTTCAATTATCCTATGGAATAATTTATTGCATTAAAACTATTACTGTTATTGTAATCAAAATTATTACCGTAATTATAAATCTTATTATGAACATTTATCGACTGAATTCTTGAGATCGCGGATAGCTAAAGGGTATACGTCATAGGAAATAGGGATATGTCATTATATAAAAATATTTTATACGATTAACATGCCTTTCAAAACTGATAAGTTATTGTTAAATCACTTTGAAACAAGAACTATTTTACACTGTTCGAGTGTTACAGTTCTGTTAGGTTATCACGAATTTCACTTATCTTCAAGATAAAATTATAATTTCATGCTACTGAACTCAGAACTACACATATTTTGTGTAGCAGGTAGATGACGAATACCTTTCTTTTACAGATCAATGTAAAGTATGAATGCAACTTTAAGAATTTCATTCGTTGAATATTATATTTGTACGAAAAATAACAATAATAGTTAAGTTATTTTATTATATTATGGTTACTGGTTAGACGACTTTATAATGTAATATTTTAAATTTTTATATTCTTGTTCATGTAGTTACATAAATGATAAATACATTTAGAATATGAAAATATGAAAATGTGTTTAAATAAATAAGCAACTTTTAAAGTACACTCATTAATAATAGTATATTTAGTATAAATCCAAACGTATATATTTTATTTTATATAATAAATTTATTAAGCGAAATAAATAAAAATTAATTTTATTGTGATAAAAAATTCAATATTTTGATTTTAAATAATTTATATCTCGATTTATATGTATTGAAAAACTATTTGAAGTGCCAAACTTTACAAACAAAATTCAG